GAGGATTACTCCTTGAAATTTTGTTATGTTCACCGTTATAAAAGATTTAAAAATTAAATCAGAAAATACTTTTCCGTTTAAAATGGATGTTTTCAGTAATCAAAACCAAAATGAGCATTCCAATGAATTAAACTAAATGATGAGGTATTAATTATGTAAATTGTTTGTTTTTAAACTCATGATCGACTGAATGCAACAAATTAAACAATGTACAATTCATTCATCTTTTTGGAGGTTAATGACTTCATTTTCATTAATTATAACTCAGTTATCTCCCCTAATTCAAGACCATTCTGAAATCGATTGCTTATCTCTTGTAAGCTTTATTCTTGTTAAACAGATAAATAGTCAAACAGGCAAAAGGACATGATTATATGAATATGGCAGTAATGTGACACATTTGACTAGACTTTTAGTGGCCAGTAGAAAATCAACATGATATTCTTGACAGTGAACAAAACGGTGACTGTATTAAAAATATGACAGAGCAGTGTCCTTCAGAAAATGACTCACAAAGTAGCAGAATTTATTTTATTCTTCAATCACTATTCACATATTTTAAAAGATTATTCTCATGGAAAAGTAAAAAATGCACATATATTAAGCAATGGCAAATTAAAATTTGTGTATTTTAATGGTAATCAAGGTATAAATTATTTATGTTGTCTTAGAACATTTGCTCCACAAAAGTCTCTTTAAATCAATCCTATTGGTAACACTGTAATTTTTTTTTGGTGAAAAAATTTTACTAAAGACATTTTTTGTAAAACAAAATACTTCAATGTCTGTAGAGAAAGAAAAAAAGGGGATGTGTAGGTAGCTTAATGGTTATTGGTATGGAAAGTGGAATTGATAAGCCAAGTTCAACTTCCATCCTAGTCTGTTGTATTCACTTTTGTACTAATGCCCTTGAGAAAAGCATGAATATACTTCTCCCCATAGTTATGGGTTAAAGAGTCAGTCTAGGAGAAGGACAACTCCTGAATTTGAAAGGGAGAAGACAACAGGAAACCACTCCACTATTTTCCCCAAGAAAGTGATGCCAATTTGCAGATATTAAATAAAGAAAAAAAAAGAAAGGAAAGTAACAGTTCATGTTTTGCTTAATTCAAATATTGCAAGAAAAAAAAAGTCATTTGATGTGATTTTGGGAAGTGGATCAGACTGAGAACTTTTCAACACTATCAGAAATTTCTACATTTTAAATGTTATTTGTTGGAAAAAAAAAGTGAGAGGGGCGAACAAAGAAAAGACTCTTGAATTAGAATTTAACCTTCAATTTATTTTCTTAATCAATTCACCCTAAGCAAGGTGATAATGCCACTGAGACACAAGGGAGCTACTGAGAGTGAAAGAGAATGAGAAAACTTTAGAAGAAACCAGAAACCAAATCCTTAACAGGAAACAAGGAATCAACCACTACTCCTAGATTTATTTATAAAAAGAATAAAGAAAAGTGTTAAGACATTTTTTTTATTTTATTTCTGTAGACTTACTTGTAACTTCTTCGTTTGCTACTTGGTCAAGCAAGTCAACCAGCCGCTGCTGCATTTGGCGACATGTTCGATTTAATTCCTGTAATACAGCAGAGAAGAAGAAAAAAAAAAAGGGTGTGTATATCAAATACAAGTGAAAAGAATCAAAAGAAAAAGTCAAAAGAAAAAGTTAAAAAAAAAGTAAACAAAAAAAAAAACAAAAAAAATGTGAACAATAGGAAAAACATCAAAAGAGAAAAATTATTTGTCAAATGTAATTCCTATAATTTGAAATATTACTTGTATGAAACAAAAGTTATTCCCATTTATTTTATGCAGCTTTTATAGTCCTGCAAAAATGTACTTAATACATTTTAAGCAAATGTAATTATACATAAACACTTTATATAATTTGGGAATGGATTTCTTAATCCAACATTATTTCTTATTACGATAGATGTTATTTTTACTGGCAACATGTATTTGTGTTGCAGTTTTTTTCTTTAAATTGTGAAATTAATAACAACTGGCCGAGAGTGAGAAGAAGTTGTACTGAAGAAAAATTGTGCCTCCCAACAAGAATCCAACTTGTATCCCTGATGAAAAAAGAAAAAAAAGGGGATGGATAAAATAAAATAAAACAAAAAATTATGCAAAATGCTGAGATATATAAGATGGTAGAGAAAAGTTATTGACCCAACATTTTTTTTTTCTTTGTAAGACCTTGTTAAGGATCAACCTTTTTAAAACAGACATTACATGACAGTGTAGATTCTTCCAGACAGAAGTCTCTTCAAGATGAACTCTTATTTCAGCAGCAGTAGCTATTCTACTCAGTAGACCAAAGATTTTCAAATGCTGCTTTGTTTACAAGGCTGTCTACTCTTTTCCTTTAGATAGACACTTCTTGAAAATGAATTTTCCTTCGTATCTATGGGAATATTAAAGTAAGTATAATTTGATTGTTTGAGATGTAGGATTTCAAATAAAGATTAAGATAGTGATGTTATAAAATAGAGAATAGAATGCAATTAATCAAAATCAGAAATAAAAATGGATTTGTTTGCTTTTTTAGCAGGGATAAATAAGGCAGGTAGAATTTCCCAGAGTGTTTGTAATATGAACAGAATTTATATGCATATACAAGTGCTTCAATAAGTCTATAACTTGACATGAAATTATTAAGTGAATTTTGATCTGAAATTTTTATTATCTAATGTTTGAACTATGTCATTAATATCTGTCTATATTTCTGAGATGAGGTATTATGTACACTATTTACATTATTCGGACTATTGTCCTCATCTTTGTTGCCATATTTATTACAACGTTTCAGCCATTGTACAGTCTGGCTTTCTCCTGAGCTGACCAAGCATAGAAATGAATACAATATGGGAACCAGTAATAAGGAATGCCAGAGAAAAGTGATAACAACAAAAAAATTGCAATATGAGCTCTGGTAAAAAATGATTACTGAAGACATTAGGTTTATAATACCCAGAAATTCATATGCAGATGTCCTCAAGGACACAGTGGATAAAGGCATTGGTTAGATCCAGTGACAGGACCCAAACAGTGTGAGTTCAATACCCGGTTAAGGCAGTGGAGAACTTGGAGAGGGAAATTAACAGGAGATAACAGTTAACTGACATCCATTAAAAACATGGCACGTGGAACTAGAACAGTCTACCCCAGTGAGCGAAATAAAGGGTTCAGTTCGACATTCCAACCACCTGAAGAGGGCCAGAGCGTACAACGGCCAAAACATTGTAATAAATATGGCGACAAAGATGTGAACAATAGTTCAAATAATGTAAATAGTGTATGTCATTAATATTAACCATTTAATCAAGTGCATTACGTCGAGGCACTTGATTAAAGAGTAAGGTGACTATTTATGCCTGAATTTCTTATTTACAAGTGAACTTTTGTCCTAACCTTTGTTGTTGTTGTTATCACAATGTTTGTGCATTTGCTAACACAGTAATTTTGAGTTCAATTCCTGGGCTGGGCAGTGTGTACTTTGGCTCAGTGAAAACAAGGCAAGCAATAACTGAGAAGTAATAACTAAGAAGTGACCTATATATCTCTAGACATGGTCAGTGGAATGAGAACAACAGATTAAGATAAAGTGTTCAGTTTGAAATTCCCTGATGGTTACTCAGATTGACAATCACCTGATGAAGGCCAGATGGCACAACAGTTGAAACATTATAATAATAATAATAAAGATGAGAGCAATAATTTTATGGATCCATTTACATTGGGAAAGGTATGACTCCTCTTCTCCTCCTCCCAGCTATGGGTAAATAGCAGGAGAGACTAGGTTCTATAGCCTTGGGTGGCAACCAGTCTAGAAGAAAAACTGAATTCAAAACTGGCCTGGAGAGGGTTGGGCTTAGTCAGGCTATCATGCCCAAGAAACACCACTTCTATTGCAGCTACAGTAAATACATGGTGGCCCTATGGGTCACAGGATAAAAAAATAAAAAATAATGCAAACAAGAGGACTTATATTAAAGAAAAAAATATTTTATGATTAGGCTACAAAGTTACTGATTTATCTATGTATTATTTAAAGACTACAAGTTTTGTGACCAAAATTTATCAAATTTGAATCATTCAAAACTGAATTATGTTTCCTGGAATGTAATTTCTAGCATGGTTTCATATTGGAAAATCTACACTAAATAATTGTTTTGCTGATGCTGCTGAAAAACTTGAAGAGAATATTTTTTGCATTTTTCAGCTTCAAAATTAAAATAACAGAAAAACAAAAATTAAGGTTTAATTTTTTGGCACCCAATCCACCTTTGTAACCATTCAGCTTAATTACTAAATTGAAAGTAATGCAGCAGTAAGTCAGAGTCAAGCAGCAGAGAGAAAAAACGAGGGAAGATAATGCAAGTTGACTTTGAGGATTAATGAATTTTGTCTCCCCCACCCAGGCTATTCTTGTAGTTAACCTTGACTTATTTTTTCTTTTCTTTCTGTTTGTTTTGATTTTTTTTATTGAAATAGAGAAACAGTTTATACCAATTAAAAAGACACCATAAAATTAGGTGCTAAAAATTTAATGTTTTTTTTATTTTTTAAAATAAGTGTGAAACATTTCCCATACAGAAAGATTTTCACTTTGAACAAAATATAAATTTGTGACAAGAGGCATTTATAGAGTTGCTTACTACTAGCAATGGGTGGGTGTGTGTGTGTGTTTGTTTGTTCAGGTGCTGTCATAAAATTTTAAATGCGACATTTAAAATACTTAATTCACAAAATTAATACTGGGAAAGTTGGTTCATGGTGTTGTGCTAGACAATTTTTCTCGCCAGAATCTATCATACATATTTATAAATCTACCATTTGTCCTTGGTTTGAATATTCCTGTCATATACAGTCTGGTGCTTCTGCTACATATTTAGAGATTCTTCATAAAATATGAAGAATCTGCAATGTTATTGGTCCTGACCTGGCATCTAAACATCAGTCACTTTTCTACCACCATAATGTAGCTTCCCTGTGCCTTTTCTATAAATATGTCCATGGTAAGTTTCAGATGCTCTCTTCACTATGGTACATAGACTTTATGAATTTAAGTGCAGTACTAGATTGGTGGCAAGGTCTCATCATTTTACAGTTAAAATGGCTAGATGTAACTAGTAGGTTGTAGGTTCTATGCTAACAGCTTCTCATAGATTTATTTATTTCATGTATTCATAGAAGATTGGAGATTTGCAATAAACAACAGATTTTGTTTTGAGGTTAACTGGCATAAAAATATAGAAGCAGTTTACAACATTGCACACAAATATGAGGATACATTTTATCAATTCCAGGAAATATTCGGTAATTTCCTTATAAGGAAACATTTGGTATTCATTGAACGAACAGCCAGTACTACTGTAAATTGAAATTTGTAAAATCTTTCACTTAAAACAATTTTTCAAGCAAATAGGTTTCAAGTACAGTAGCTGTTATTGTTATTTCCATTATTGAAGAGATTTCTTTTTATTTGAAGTGGTGTGAAATGTCAATATCTATTTGGTAAAATTCTTTGTGATTCTGTAGCATCAGTCCACAAGGTTCAAAGAAGGATGCTCCTCATCAAGATCTACAGGCTTCATTTGCTCAAAGCTTTCGACCTGAGAAAGTAGTTGTATACAGCACATATTTTCCACCAAAAAACTGTATGTGTCAAAATCAATTTTATATTTCGTGTTGTTCATTAAAATTTGTTGGTCAAGTTTGATCTACAAATATAAAAAAAAAAAAACAAACGTTTTTATTTTCATATAGCATTCAATGAAAGGACCCCCAAAATTCCTTGTACCCTAAACAATACTGAAATTTCATCCAGTGGAGGTGCCTGTTGGCTATTCTTCCTAAAGCTACTGGTGTTAATGTCTCTTTACTAAGAAAAAAAAGAAAAAAAAAAAAAAACAGAGAACATATCAGATAGACATGCTATTACTTACCTGCAAGAGCTCGAGGTCGGAGGAATCTACGTTGTAGGGACTGAGTTCAGTAAGCATTTCACCCATGACACGTACATTGCCCTGTACCACATCGAGCTCACTTTTCAATTTGCCCAGTTGTTCATTGGTGGGTACTATTGAACCACCTGACATTGTTACTGGTGGCTGCATTTGAGGATGAGTAGGGTTCGGCTGAAATGGATAAGGCCAATGCTCAGCTTGGTCAGATTAAAACCATTACAAAAAAAAAAAAAAAACAAAAAAAAAACTTCCTATTCATGGATTTTGTAAAAATGTCTTTCATCATTTAGTATAAAGTAAAATCATAATGAAGAAAGAAAAAAAAAAAAAAAAAAAAAAAAGAAAAACCTTAGTTTCAAAAATAGATATTGTTTTTAAATTGCTGGAGGCATAAAAGAGGATAGACTGTATTTTCAAAGAAGCATTTAACAAATAGAAGGAAAAAAAAAAAAAAAAAGCTTTTACAACATTTTTACCTGTTAGACATAAATACCTGATTGCTTGTAAGAAAGGAAGGTGAAGAAAAGTATATTCTACTTAAAACTAACAATAGAGTGTGACTGATTATAATACCAAAATGAAAAGATTTAATCCCTGAATAAAATTATAAAAAATGTCAAGGACTTAAATCTGACAAAATTTTTAGAAACTTTTTTTGTTTGAAAATTCATTTACAATATTCAAAAGAGTAAATATTGTGCATAACTATTGTAATCAACTCAATCATTCAACTTTTCAGTTCCATTACTATTTAAAATTTCTTAACTTTTTAACTATTGTGGCAGTTTAAAAAGAAAACAAAAAAAACAAACTATGTTTAAGTTGTCCATGAAGAAAAACATTTCTTATAACCTGGTATGAATTAGAAAGTTTTATAAAATAGGAAAAATACCTCATAAAAAAGGTATAAATTCCATTATAAAAGAGCATAAATAAAAAAAATAAAAAATTATCAAGAAAGATTCTAGTTATTCCCAAGGCAAAACAACTTTATGATTAATAACTGGAAAACAACCTGAAAAAGTGAAAAATCCTAAAATCTAAATTTGAATCTCTACAAAGACAACAATTCAAATTTTTTTTTTTTTTTTTAATGACATTCTCAAATGTTTCATTGCACTTTGACGTAAGTTTTATAATTTTTGCAATGATAGAATAAAAATTGTTTTGTAGAATAGAGATAATATACGAAGAACTTATTTACTCAATTCTGAGAGTGGGGACGTAGAAATTATTTAAAACAAAATACAACAAACACTATAAGGAAAGGAGGGAAAAATGAACACTTAAAAAAAAAAAAAAAAAAAGAAGAAGAAAGAAAAAAAGTTTCTATTTCATGTAGTAATAATACAATCTAAGTTTGCAACTTTCATCATCGTTCTGTATATCACCCTCTAACGATATTCATACCATTTTTCAAGATAACAAAACTTGATAGAAAAATTCTACGAGGATCTTTCTTGTACAATTTGCTTAATGTTGCATTTATATTTTTAATACTATAACAAAATGGTCCTTACTTTATAAAAATTAATAACAAATGATCCTTACATTATAAAAAGTCTACATGTATATTTTGAATTTTAGGTATTGTTCCTATCACATCAACAGCTAATAAATAGAAAAGTCCAACTTGCAAATTCAAAAAAGCCAAAGACCCAAAATAAAAGGAAAAAAAATAAAAAAACTTTCATCTTTAATAAGATTACAAGAGTATCATTCATAAATTTTTATGTTTCCTTGATGTTTTAGAAACTATGAAGTAAGAATAGATTCCTATTAATAAATTCTTTAACCTAATATACTAGAAGATATAACTGGATTCCTTTATTTTATGGCAACATTGTTTTTCATAGGCAATGTAGATAGATTATATTACACAACTTGGCATGTTCTCCTTACTGTAAAAATAAACTTAGAGAAGTATGAACTTCCTGACATACCCAAGTTGGATAATTAATGATTAAGGAAGAAAAGAATTTAAAAAAAAAAAAAGATTTCATCATAGATTAAAAGAAAGGTGAGTGTTCAAAGTTTGTTTGAATTGGGTACAGTAAATACCAGACAAGAAAAAGTATAATTAAAGTGGATAAACCTTCTGGACAGGAATTTGAGCAAATGCATACACAAATTCTAGGGCTAAATCCCACAGTTGTCAAACTGGAAGCTGCATCACGTAATATAACAAATATGAAAGGAACAAATTTTACGCACAATATAGATTTTAAAGATATTAAAATCCTTGCTAGATCCTTCAGAACATTTATTGGAGCTATGCCCTTCTCTCAAAGTAATATGTGGCAGTTTATACTAGGTTACAGGGTGCCAGCAGCAAGGAATAACCTTTAACCTGACATTATCAGATTTTTAAAAACTTCCAAAATGGAAATTTGTTTTAAACAATGAGTGAATATCTTAGTGGTTACCCTTCTCACCCTTCATCCAAGCAGTAGCATGCAGGGGGGGGGAGATTGGGTGACGGCCACTAGCATCGATATTGGGATGGCATCCAATCAAAGAGTGAAATATAAATTTAGATTTTGAAATTGTCTATGCTAATTTTGTTGTACAAGAGCCCTATAGTCCAAAAAGTTGGTGTGAATGTGGATCAGTATTTTCATAAGAGAGACAAAAGTAGCCCCCCACCCAACTTCTCGAGTTTTAGCAGTATACAAATCAAGAAATTGACCCTAAACCTCTGCATGTCATTGTGTTTAAGTGGTATATTAAATCACTACTTTGATTATTCCAAGGGACACTTTTAAAGTTTATATATATATATATATATATATATATATATATATATATATATATATATATATGTATATTTGGGCAGCAACCTTTCTTTTTAAACATTTTCAGTTTGTTAAGGAGGATGGAAAAACTAAATAAAAGAAATCTTCCTTGTCTGCCATATTTAATGAAATATATATCTCACACACAACAAATGTGCCTTCTAAAAATTGTTATACATGAACATGTCTGGAAAGGTGGGGGGTGGAATAGAGAATACATCTTTGGTCCTTTAACCTTTTCTAAGGTCAATAACAAATAATTATAACATTTTTCAAAATATATTCTATAAAACTGATTTTTATAGAAAAAAAAAATAGGTTGGTTGGTTCTATATATATATATATATATATATATATATATATATATATATATATATATATATATATATATATATATATATATGTATGTATGTATGCATTAACTAATGACAATTTTTAAATTTACAAAAAGCAAAAGAAAAAAAGAATGCTTCCATAGAATAAAATTAGTTTGAAATTTAGACAACAGTTTTTAGACATAGGAGAAATGTTCATATAAGACTAGTAGAACTTACTTTAAAAATAATGTAATCATTAAGTAGTTACATTTTATTGCATAAAACTAAAAGCATATGGAGAGAGAAAAAACAACAAAAAACAACAGGTACCAATTTTTATACATTTTTTTTAAACCTCAGTAATAACTGATATAGGATTAAAAAAAAAAAACTGTATGAGAAAGAATATAATTTTTTCACAATACTTTTATGTTAACATATTAGTCTTTGAGGAACTGATATTTAAACTAACAATTTTAGTTTAAATATATCAATACAAAAGGGTATGCTATAGTTGCATATCTAAAAGCAGAAATAAGAAAACTTAGTCCAGTAATAACTGCAAAAACACTTCAATATGTATTTTTTGTTTTTTTAAATTTAATGTAGTAATTTCTTCAAAGTTTTAAACTTATCTAATAACAGAGTATAATATTTTATGGAGCAACTGGTTAGAAAAATCTGAAACTAAGAAAATTAGAGAAAAATCTTGGAAAAGATTTGAAAAATAAAAAAAAAATAACAACTTTTAAAGTAGGAAGATGAAAGCTCACCTATTGCTGTTACATATACAGTGGTATATTCAGATAAGGTGACATTTATAATCCTAGCAATTGAGAGATTAAAGCTGTCAAGTCTGGCTACTTGAACATCATTCAGGAGACAATGGTTTATAAAACTATAAAAACAAACCCTAATTGACAACTGCAAAGTTCTTGAAAAACAAGTTCAGTATGGAAGACATGAGGAAGAAAAAAAAATATCTAGAATTTCCAGTCCAACATGAGAACAGAATTTTATTTATATATATTTGAAAAAAAAAAAAAAAAAAAAAAAAAAAAGTCTAATTTTGAGTTAGTGTTAAAAAAAAGAAAAGAAAAAAGAGGTAAGTTTTTAATACAGCAAAAAGTATAGAATAAAAGCAAGTTAGAAAAAGTATTTAACAAAACACACAATGTAAGATTATTGTGAAGAAAAAGAAAATTATAGTCCATGGCTCAATCATCAAATGTTCTTTTAAGGCTTCAAAAAGTGATTTTTAATTTTCAACATGATTTTTGCTTTCATTATTTTTTAAAAGCTCAAAACACTTGCTAATATTCAAAACTGAAAATACATATACAAAAGTATCTAATAAAACATAACTCAGAAAAGTATTAAAATAGATATTCCTGAGGTATAATAATAATATAAAACAATTTACAGGAATTTGATACACTGAAGAAAAGAGCTCCATTTTTATATATAACTAGTTTTTACCTGCCCATCGTAAGATGATCAAATTTCAAGTCTAAATTGTCTATTTAAAATAACATTTATTTTAAAGTCTCCAAAATGAAATTGTTTTCTCTTAATCATCTTAAATAATCTTTTTGCCTTCCATCAAAATGACTGATACTAACCCCCAGGTGAGCAATTCATTGCACTGTCTTCATCTCATGTTTTCAACTAACATGAAATGGAATGATTATATTGACTCAATTGCTAAGTCTGCTGCTAAGAAAGTCTGTTCACTATGTTGAACTAGACAATTTTTCTTGCCAGAATATATAACAAACATACACACTTTCATATCTCTACCATTTGTCTATACATCAAATATTGCCACCACATCTGGTCAAGTGCTTCTGTTACATAATTAAAAGTTCTTGACAAATTCAAAAGAAAAATCGGCAATGTTATCAGTTCTGACCTGGCATCTCTGCTTCAGTCACTTTCCCACCACCATACCACATTTCCCCATGCTTTTTCTATAAATATTTTCACAGTAATTTTTCTAATGACCTTTCCACTTTTTTCACTCTCAGTAACCCCTGATGTCTTAGTAGCCTTTATTGCCTTGATTGATTGGGACAAAATGGTTAAAAAAAAAAAATCATCAGTTTAAATACAGGGGGAGTAATGAAAATGAGTTCAAAGCAGTTGTTGCTAGACAAAAAGGTAAGATTAGTTTTAGCAACACAGATGGCTATTTCAATTTTCAATCAAATTGTGTGTGTATGTATATTTGCATATGTATATTTTAATTCATTGGCAGACTCAAAAGCAAAAAAAAGAAAAGAGAAACAATTACTGAATAATGTCTGAAAAGTTTAATAAAAGACAAATGGTAGACATAAGTGTGTGTGTATATATATATATATATATTTTCATTAATTCTGGCAAGAAAAATTGTCTAGATCAACATAGTGAACTGACTTTCTTAGCAGCAGACTTAGCAATTGAGTCAATATAATCATTCCATTCCATGTTAGTTGAAAACATGAGATGAAGACAGTGTAATGAGTCGCTCTCCTGGGGGTTAGCATTAGTCATGCTGATGGAAGGCAAAAAGATTATTTAAGATGATTAAGAGAAAGCAGTGGAGACTTTAAAATAAATGTTATTTTAAATAGACAATTTAGACTTGGAAAAAAAAAAAAAAAAAAAAAAAAAAAAAAAAAATTACTGAATACTGTCTGAAAAGTTCAATTTTATGTTATTTTTTTAGGGTTTAAAACTTAATTTTTTTCTAATGATATTACTGCTCAACTAAGAGATTGTCTAGACTGAGCGGCCAGAGAATGTATTTTTATTTCAAACCCAGTTAAATTGTGTGTGTGTGTACACACATGCTTGATTATACATTAAATAGCACATTTAAATTACTCATGCCTTACACAGACATACACATATACATCACATTTCATTACATACACGCATGCTAAATTTATATGTAGTGTATGATGGACAGAGAATCATATCTTTTATAGTATAGAAAGTAAAAGCAAAGTTTTAAAACTGAGGCAATGTATTCTTATATGGGCTAAAATAGTAGCAGTGTAAATCTAAATTCCAATAAATTTAGTTGACGACCTAAACTAAACCATAGGTTACGCCTTATTCTTTTTGCTGATGATAATCATGAAAATGAGGTCAAGGTGTCTGCCATAAAATGGTCAGGTGAACTATGGACTCAGAGTCAATATACTGCAGTTGTTCTGCATGTCATCTTGACAATTTGAAACAATCAAGCCCCCATACCTCAGCTGACACACTTGTGACAAGTAATCTGAAATTTGAACTGACAACTCCAACAAGTCATGTTGGTTTTCATAATTGAAGAAAAATACTCTATGGCATAAACATACGTCAAAATAATCTTGCCACAGACAGATGCAAGGGTGGCATGGTACCAGTATTGAGCTATTGATAGGAAAAAAAAAAAAAAAAATTTATATATATCTCCAAATAAGAGAAAGAACAGATGGGGTAAAAATCCAGTTTGTAGCATTTATTTTTTTAAAAAAGTGCTCAATACAAAGTATAGCAAAATATTATATAATAAATTATAATAAAAACTTTTTACACTGCTACACAAAAACTTTCAAGTTTTGGTACTAAGATGGTACCTCTTCAGGCAATGGTAGATAACTAATGATAAAAATGATTTATTAGGGAAAATTGAAAAAACAAATCTTTACCTTCTTTTTGTAAGTTAAAAGGTGAGGCATAAGGTCAGAATTAAAAATATATTTATGGGTATGTCTAGATTAACCAATGAACGTCTATGCTAACATATAAAAATAAGGTCATAGTGTGGAGGTGGGTGGGTTATTACATATCAAGAGGACTAATGCTTAGATATGTCATTCAAGATACTAGGGAGCAATTAGCGCAACAAATGAATGTATTGGTGTACCCAAATATGATTTGACGATTTCTTGAAGTAGACATGAATTTCTCAGAAATGGATTTAAAAAAAAAAAAAAAAAAAAAAAAAAAAAAAAGTTTTTTTTTTAATAATCTTTTCATGGTTATCTGTACAGCTATAACTTAATTTAAATGTATTTTTATTAAAAATCTTACTAAGAGGATTATTACTAGGGAAGTGCTTATCAATTAAATTTAGAAACTTCTGTCCTAACCATTTCATTAAATGGGGATGTGTGCCAAATGATTTTTCTGTTTCTATTCTCCCCCCACTAACACTGTTATGTATCCTATATTTAATGTCAATCTTTTTTTTCCCTTTTTTTTTTTTCACTACAACAGAGAAAAAGAATTATTCCTTTGTCACTTTTCCCAAATTTGTAAATATGACAGGGACACATAGCCTTGCTGGTATTATCAGAGTAAAAAGGACAAAAGCTGTTAAACATTGACCATTGGTTCTTAGAATTCACTGTCCAGTTAATGCCAATGTGTCAATGTTCAAATGTGAGCAGTCAAGCAAAAAACAGCAGGCAGAGAGAAATTTTTCCAAACTACAAGAATTGACAGTTTCTAAGTACCAAAAAAAAAAAAAAAAAAAAAACCATTCTTTGGAAATGTTGTCATTTCTATTGTACATTACAAATTATAGTCTATATGAGGAGGTGTTGAATGAAACTTTGAAACTATTCCATATTAACCACACAGTTTTAAAATACTTGGCTCATCATTTCTCAAGTTTCTTTCATCCTTAAAAAAAAAAAAAAAAAAAAAAAAAAAAAGAAAAGGACGCTTCTTATCTTTGGTCATTTATATACTAACGAGTACACATGCTGTCAAAAGTGATGGCAATTGTTAAAAAGTTTTATCAAGATACAATGAAGCTAAAATTTTGTAACAATGTATTGAGATTCAATAAAATGGAGATCCAGAATTCACAACTAAAATAGGTGCCAGTGAACAATTTAATTAATCAGGATTTCCTTATGAGATTTCTATTTCTATCTTTTGTGTCATGTTCTATGTTATTAAATAGGACAAAATTAATAATGTTTATAATTCCTTCAGTAATAAGGAATTTCTTTTAAATAAGCGTCTTTCTTCAACTTGATCTAAAGATATGTTTTGTAATTGCCATCTTTGTTGTTTCATTGATAATCTTTTTCTTTCAAGGTGTTTCCATTTTCAGTCACTATTATATAAAATTTTTAGCCTACAATAGCAATTTATATGATGCCAGGAGTAATCAATAAACCATAGATACCATTGGCTGCCTAAAAAAATATCTTTTCTCAAAAAATTAAACTTGTATCTACACAATCTGTATAATCCTATAGGGACTGCCAAAATTCAATTTAAAATTAACATCAATGAATATTATTTCTTAAAAAGGTTGAAAGAATTACAATTATTTTTTTTATTATTTGGTCGAGTTATCAAGTTAAATAGCATAAATGATGTTTTTTTAAGTCATTATCAAATTTGTTTTTTGTATTGATAGAGTTGTCTATGTGTATTGTTTTCCCTCTGGGTATTTTTAAGTGTGGCATTTTTATGCATCAGTTTATTGCATGTGTTTTTATTAGTTGTGGAATATATAATAAATGTTTGTTCTTAAAGTGAATTTTTTTTTTTTTTATTGATGCTAGGTCGTTTTGTCATAAGTGTGAGGGGCATCCTCAATATGGAAACTGTTCATAGTTCAATATATTAATTATATAGAGATAGATCAAAGAGAAGTAGAGAAAAAATGGTTTCAAGTCTGAACTAAACCAGAATCAATTGCCACAACCAAATTTATCATCGATGATTAGCTATTTTGTTCCTCCATTTTTGATTAGATATTTTATTCCCTCATCAGGCAATAAATGTGACTTTCAGTCTCTGGCCTGCAAAGAACTTATAAAGGTGCCAGAATGTTAGTTTGAAGGCCACTTACTGCTTGTGTAGACACACCTCTATTTCTGCTGATGGGTGGTGGTGGCTGTTCTGATACTGGGGTACTCTGCAACAAGGGTGAAGAACAACAAAACCAGGAAAAAAAAAAAAGAGAGAAAGAATAAATAAAGAGTTGAGAAAGATTCAATCACCAAATGAGTTTTAAAGATGTGGATTTTTTGCAATAATGTTTTTGCAAATATCATGCTGGAAACATTCCAAGATTATAGGATATAGATCTGGTTTTAGTTGCACGGTCCTTACAAGACAGATCTCTCATACCTAACATGGACTGGAAGTTTTCTTTCTCTTTTAGTACAAGAAACCATTGCCCTTTCTATTCTGATTTATTAATATCTTTAACAAATCAAACAAAAGGATTAAATAAGCCATGGTAATATCATTGAACTAATTGGCTGCAAGGTTAACTTATATCCAACTACTGATTTAGTATCAACTGATAAAAATAAAACATTAATAAACTTAATATCTGTTACTGAAGTCTTCAGTTCCAGCTCTGTGCTTTTCCTTATGATCTGGATTGCATCACCAGATTAGAGGAGATCTGACTTATAAAGACAAAAGCAAAGCAAGAAGACTTTACTCTTTTGAGCAATAGTGCAGATAGGCATGTGTCACAAAGAATGAAACATCGAAACAATCCTTCCACAGGCCAAGAGGATAGGCTAAGAGAATTTCAAATGTGACTTGCAAATTTGGAACAACTTTTCTTTTTTTTTTTTTTTTTAAATAAAAAATACCAGAAACTTTTTTTTTTTAATGAAAGTTTTGATTGCATTGTAAGAAAACAATTAAAAACAAAAAATAATGCTAATATTCCAGGTTTTGTATGCCATAGAAGAATTGGTAAAGAACCGGATATCATGCTAGATAAAATATGTGGAACATTAGGTTCCTTTAGAAGCCAAGCAATAGGTATTTGATGTGTCAGGCCATGCAAAGCCAAGCAAGAACTTATTGCTACTGTCAAAATCAATGTGCACGTACACACACAAACTTGATGAGCCACTTGTGGAAGGTATAAAAATAGTGTTATAATTACTTCTATAAAACAATTAGTAAGGTAAAGCTTGTACAGAATTAGTCCCAATAGATTCAAGTCCAGTAATAAATTTTGATGACATGGTAAAATCTATAGATGATAATATTTTAGGTACATGAGGAAAAAAAAAAAATTGTATCTCTTACAAGATACAAAGTAATAGAAATTATTCAGCAGTAATACCATGAGAATTTAATAACAAGAGTGCCGAAAAGTTCTCAGCTTGAACAACTTCCCAAAAATTTGATGAAACATCAGAATTTTGGTGGGTAATCCATTCTTGCTAATAAAAAAAAAAAAAAAAAGTCCTAATCGGTCACAAGAGAATGAGTAATGTCAAACCATTTCTGGTAATTCAAACAATATGGTAATGGTAATACTAGTAGTTTACTTATAAGTAAACATTTGACATTCATTGACCAAACGGCTAGTACTGCTTTTAGTTGAAATTTGTAAAATCTTTCTCTTAAAACAGTTTTCCAGGGAAAATGGTTTCACAAGCCCTGTAACTGTTATTGCTCATTCCAATATTAATGAAAATTTCCTTCCTAACCTTTTATTTGAAGTCATGTGGAATGTCAGCATCTTGATTATGCCATTATTTTCTGTTCAAGTTACATGTAATATCTATTTTAGCTTTTGCTGAAATTCAAGTGATGTCATTTATATTATTGTGTACAGTTCTCTTTGAGAGTTTGTAATGCCAATCCACTTGAAAAAGGATGATCTGTATCAAGATCCACAAGCTTCATTTGCTAAAAGTGATTTTTAACTGTTGATTTTAGAAAGTGGTTGTATGCAACAGACAGTTTTATTTCTGAACGAGTTTGACATCATGCAGGACATGCTTTTGAAAGTCAATTCCATGAGGCTATTTAAAGAACATGACTCGAGCTTTCAGGTTGATGTTTTAGTTTTGTAGCCATTTGCAGTATTGAATGAAACTACCTCTAAATTCTACATTTGTTATAACTGCTCCATACACTGAGGCATTTGAAGTGTTTGGTATTTGCTAATTCAAAATCTTGAATTTTTACAATGGATTCAAAGTATCAGTGCCATTACCGTTTTCATTCCAAATTCCAGATCATTGTTTCTGTTTTGGAAAGGTTTATTTTTTGTCCTATTTCTTGGAGTACTTGATAGAGGATATTGACTTTTTGTTGAAGATCATTCTTATCGTATATCTAAGTGCCTATATTGCCATCATCAGTACATTGGTATCAGGAGGGATAGCAGGATCGTTGTCTTCTATTAGTCGATTCATTTGGGAATTGGTATGGAATGCTTAAATGATCAGTGCCTATCTCTTCACATCTATGCTTGTGAATATATAGGGCATAGTCTTGAAAAAAAAATGAAGCAAACTTGGGCTCTCAACTCCTGGTGAAATTAGAAATATCAGATATACAAAATTTTGTGAACCAATAAGGTTCATCTATTGGATTGATGCATTCAGTGGATTTGGAACTTGGAAGACAGTTTCTAATGGATGAGAAGAAAAATGTTTCTATTGATGAAGTCATATGGCACTGTGGGGTCAACATAGCAGCAGATATACAGTTTCTTATTAGAGAAGTAAGCAACTTCCTGGAGTTGTTTGATGTCATATGCAAACATAACATCCCTTACCAGAAGAAAAAACGGAGTTGTGAGGAGTTGACTTTCATAAAACAATGAAGACCTAGTTAATATAATGATCATTAATACTTTCACCATGATGAATTCAATTGTGATAGCTCTGTATTTGTGTGTGTCTTCAGGGTTACCTTTTTATTTTCATAGTGCATTAATGTATGCTAATAATTTTGGGGATGCATTTCTAATTCCAAACATCTTTTATAAAATAGAGAAACTTATTGAATTCAGAGAGAAAGTAAGATGTTTTCAAAAGTTCAGCTTCAATATTTAGTAATACTTTATTATTTCTTAATTTTTCAATAACTTAATTTCTTCATCAGTAGGTTCCTTATTGTTTAGGTTTGGAGATGGATTTTGTAATGTTTGGATGTATATTGGTACATTTTCCATGTCTGCATGCATCTTTGGTTTAATGTGTTCAAGGTTGAAATATGACAGTGTTTTTGAGACCAGGACATTTCTTCTGTATTGGTTTTGATTGTATAACAGATTTATTTTTTGCTTTTCTCCACATTTTAACATTGTTTATGTTGCATGGCTTAATTAATTTTGTATCAATTTCCTGGAGAGATATTAGTTTCTCAAAGTATTAATTATTTTTTAATTTTCTTTGTTAATTGTCTAATATTTTCCGTACTGTTTTCCTTTGTTTCTTGTAACAATTTTTTTTTTTTTGTTCCATGGGTGTATCTTTTTCCTTCTAGGTATTCTTGGAATCGTCTCACATGCTTCAGCTAATGAAGATATAACATTTGATTCCTGTATGTTGTTTGATCAAAATTTATTATCATCAATTTTAACTAAAGTTTATTAACAAATTCTAAATTTAACCTTTTCATAATTTTACAGAAATAATAGCTGTTGTAGGTAATTCATTGATGAAGAAAAAAATTCAGATTTTGTAGTGATCTCTATAAAAAAAGAGCAGCTTCCAGAAAATTTAATAAGTTGTTATTATTAACTTGACCCATTGTACCCAATTGCTCAAACAGATTCCACCAGGTGAGAGCATTTTTGGCACATTAAATGTTGTTCATGATTACATAAGGTTAATTAAGGTATAATCTTTATAAACCAAAATATATAATATTCATTGGGAAATCCTATCAGAACATGGTTCAGTCTGTGGAGTGGAAAGGGATAATAATAAATAATAATAATAATAGCAGCATTCAATTGTATTGGAAGAATTTATGGCAGGGATTCTAAATTCTGTAAAAGAAAATTTCCAAATGAAATTCTAAGTGTGTAAATTGTGAACAAAAAATAACATTTTCACAACAAAGCCAGACAAGAGGATTAGTATTAAGCCAAATTTTGTTGGGTAGAAGGTAACTAAAAAGTTTGGGTTTCTAAAAAGGTTAATTTCCTACTCTAGATTATTTTGCAAAATTAAAAGCAGTTGTGGTCATCCATGCTGTTGTGCTAACAGTCATGATAAAGTGTTAATAAAATTGGACTTCCAAAACAAAAGCAACAACAACCTTTTAAAGAAAGGATTACGTAAACAAAAGTCAAAATATTCACATGTGTAGATAATTAGAGAATTTTTTAGTTTTCATAGATTACATAAAGATGAAATATGTACAATTCATCAATTCATTCAGATGGATTTATATGTAAAAATATCTTTGCAACATTTCTTATTCCTAAATCTTTCAGATTAAATGAACAAAGATATTTTATCAATTCACTGTCAAATTCTTACACCTGAAATTTAAAGTATAACTCAAAAATTTATTATTTTTCTTTTATTGTAAAAGGTATAATTATCAGAAATATAAGGTTTTTACTCTTGAATTATTTCCTACTGGATCAGGTGAGATTGTATAAGGTTTTATATTTTTATAAATAGTCACAGATTAAATAAGTGGGATTCAAAAATAAAACTATACATACATGGTCTATTTTGTTTTTCTTCTTCAAATTGTATTTTCAACTATGACAAATGAAATGTGCCAAGTTAGTGACATTACCTGGAACTTATAGTATTGAATGTCCACAAGATGCTCATTAATGAAAACTGAAACCATGAACATCCAATCAATTTCCTTGTGTTCTACATGACCAATGATAAGATGCCTGTAACCCATGAGGGTTGTAAGGACATACGTACTGCAACCATAGCAGCAGTGGTTTGTTTAACAAGAATCTGACAGAGCCCATCACTTTTCAAACTGGTTTTAAACTCAGAATTTTCATCCTCTTAGACTGATTTTCAACTCAGAGAAGCCCAGTCAATACTACCATTTAACCCATAGTGAGAGGTTGACAAGAGATGGATTCCTATCTTTTCCCCAAGGCTATTTGTGTGAAAGTGAATGCAACAACTTGACTGGAATTTCAACTTTACTCCTTGATTT